TGCCCCCCCACCCCCTGAGCTGGAGATTAGCAGTTCAGTCTATTTGGGGCTGTTCCCATGCTCTGGGGGCTGCTGGTGCTCACATGCTGGTGCATCTAGCTGGTGACTGGAAATATCTGGATGTGCTTGCCTCTGAGCTTCCAGCCAATTTACAGGCCTCTCTCAGCACCCTCTGAGTGGGGCTCTGGAGCATTCTGGTAGCGTGGCTCAGAGGTGCTTGCCCTGTCTCCAGTTGCTGGGACTTGCGTAATCAAACCTCGGGCCTCAGAACGACTGTCCAGTGCTCTCCAAACCAGCCATTCCAGAGCCCATCCCTCCTCCCAGCCTGCTCTCCCTTTCAGTCTGGCTGACTTGGGCGCTGATGCCTGCCCGTTACGTGATCTGCACATGTGGGGATTGAAGAACAAGAGTCGGGAGGGCTGGGAGGCAGGGCTGTTGTGCTCAATGCCTTCCAGATGGTGCTGTGAGCTGGAGATAAGATGCTGCGCCAGGCTGGCCTGGCAGGACGTGATACGTTCAGCTCACACCTGGGGGGCTGTTATCACCCTCCTGTGACAGCCTGGGCCGCTCTGGTGTTTGTTCTTGGACAGGGGCTTAGTTTGGCAACTCCAGCTGACCTGTGAAATCAAATTTGCTATCAGTTCAGTGGGCATTCTGCCAAGGACTTAAACACCCTGAACAGGGACTCGAGGCACAAGCGTTGCTGACGGCGTCTCGGTGTAGCTGGACTCGGTGCAAGCCCTGGAAGACAGTCTGTTTTCTGTGGGTGGGGACTGTGGCTGAATGGCCACTGGGACCAGTCGATGTTCGTGAGGACCATGGCAAGGCATGACTCAGGGACAGCACAGTGGCTCTGCAGCAGCAATGCATGCGGAGAAGGATTCCGAAGTCTGGTCCAGCTGGGCTTAACTGGAAAGAAGACCCTGACGGACAGATCACGCCTGTCTGCTGAAGGGATGGTGCTTTGGGTGGTCTCTGTTTGTCAGCTGTGTCACGAAAAAGGGGGGGAAAGTTGGAATGAAGTTCGCATCCCCTTCACCTCCCAAACATGCAAACATTCTACATGAATTTGAATTCAGCTTTGACTTGTTCCAGGAGAATTGAAAAGTGTTGGTGAGACCCTCAAATGGGACAGGGGATCAGGACACTCACAACTAGACAGGCCTTTGTGTACCTTAGCCTCGGGCCCATTTTGGGAGGACAGGAGGACCACTTGCAGAGGTGACATGGGATGCAGAGGGTGAGGACCCCACCTCTTGTGCTTTGTGCTGGATGTGGCAAGGGTCCTGGAAGTTCTGCAGAGGACATTGTGTTTAAGACACGAAGGCCTCACCTTCCTGAGAACAGTGTCTTCAAGACAGTCACGTGGGTCTGGGGACGAAGGCAGAGACAGGAACCGACCGGAATCGATGACAAGAACCTTACCACCTTCCTGTCTCTGCAGGGTTCTGGCAGCTCAGGGAGTGAGGGACCCATTTCCCCTCTTCTTTGGTCCAGGTCCAGGCTGGCTTCCTGGATGTGTAGCCTGGGGCTGCCCAGTGTGCTGCTCTCAGAAGGGCCCTGCTCCTGGTTCAACCCTCTGCCGTTTCTCTCTGGAAATCTTGGTGCCTTTAGAAGATGAGCCCGGCATTTTCCCTTGGCTTTCACCTGCAGCCATTTTGGCTGGAAAACATGTTGCTGGCCCAGCCTCTGCACTTGACTCTGACATTCCCAGAGGACAGTCAGTTGCCCCAAGGTTGGGGAGCCTGGAGGGAGGGAGGGAGGGCCTCAGGTTTGGAGCACTGTATGGGGGCCAGGCTCCCTCCTGGGGGCTGGAGCCCTGTGGGCAGAACTGGGCTTGTTCCTGCTCCTAGTCTAGCAGAAGAAAAGACACCTTCATGGGACATGACGGGATGCCCAGAGGTTGGGGGCCACCTGGCCTGGTGTGCCTGGTGGATGCTGTTCCCCCGTCAGGGGAGAGAGTCCGTGTTTGGCAGGCGCCTGAGGAGGGAGGCAGACGCCTTCTAGGCGGAGGGTCTGTGGAGCCAAGGCCCTGCCCAGAGTGTCCAGGAGCCTCACTGCTTGGCTGGGTCGGAGCAGGTGGTGGCTCTGGGCCTGGGGGTGGTTCAGAGCCACCTGGGAGCCCACTGCTGGCTTGGAAAGCTGGGGAAGGTTTTATGCAAGGAGAGAACCTGCTTGAGTTGGGTCGTTCTGTGCTGTGGGGACGTGGATCTGAGGGGACAGCATAGCCGGATGTCCCAGGAGTTCTGCTCCCAGAGGGTGAGGACCTGGGGCAGCAGAGGTGGCCGGCCAGAGAGGCAGATCCCGGAAAAAGGAGGTGAGTCAGCAGGAAGAGGCGATGAAGGGCCTGGGGCAAGAGAAAGCGGAGGAGGCTGACCATCCTGATTTCCAGGCGCTGCGTGGCCGCCTGGTGGGGTCACTGTCACAATGGGAAGATTGGAGGAGGAGGGTCCCTGTTGGGACCTGGGGGCGGCCTGGGTGTCTGTGCTAGGCTGGGTGGTGGTCGCTCATAATGGGGCCCGACCTCCTGGCTGGTGGGGGTGGCTGGAAGGGAAGGTGGAGGGAGGCACCGTTCTTAATCAAGCTGTTGAGTCACTTGTTTGGTGCCTTTGGCTGATGGGACCAGGCCAGGAAGGGTGTGGCCTGGTGGTTCAGAGCCAACCGAGGGAAGGGAGGAGTGAGCTTGGGGTGGCCTGGGGAACAGAACTGGCTTTGAGGACAGCCAGGAGCTCCAGGACACGGAGCTGGGAGCTGGGTGCGAGTGAGCCTCCATGGTGCTGCCCCAGGGCCTTCTCAGGTTGGCTGCAGTGGACTGCAGTTTGGGGGCACCCTGGGGGGTCCCAGGCTGTGGACTGCCTGGGGCCATCCAGCTGGAGCATTTCCTAAATAGACTTTTCCTTACAGTTTGATAACCAGGAGCCGTGATGCACGCCTGTAATCCCAGGGACTCTGGAGGCTGAAGCAGGAGGCTTGCAAATCCAAGGCCAGCCCGGGCAACTTACGAGACCCTGTCTCAAAAATTAAAGGGGCTAGAGGTGTAGCTCAGTGATAGAGCACCCCGGGTTCAGTCCCAATAAACACACACACACACACACACACACACACACACACACACGGAGTACATTTAATAACAGAACTGCAAGCAGTGTACCTTTCCTCGGTGTGTATTAAATTACCTCTTAGTGGGGTGTGTATGTGCGGAGGAAGCAGCTGAACGTCCTTGAGCCTGTGTTTTAGACGTGCGCTTTGTGTCTGTAAGTGGCCTCTTCGCCGACTAGGAACGTGGGTTGAGGGAATATCATAAAGGGGCTTCCTGAGTGTGAAGGTGTCTCTCTTAGGAGTTTAAACAGCTCAAGGAGTCCATATTATTCATTTTGAGTTTTTTTTTTTTTTACAAAATTATTTTAATCCCTGTCCACATGGTAGACAAATAAGAATTGGATGACCCAGGTGTCGCTCCCCCATAAACCCACGTTATGACTTCGCCTGGGTCTTTCCAACACTCCTTGTCACTTCTCTCCACGTGGCCTGGTACTCTGGCCTCCAGGGATCGCTATTGGGTCTGACTCCTGTTTTTCTGTCCATTTCCGTGGGGCCCCGAGGAGCCCACAGGGTGGACTGGAGCTCAGTCTGCACTCGTGACCCTTGGGCACAGCCGGTGGGGTACTCCCGGGCTGTCTGTGCTGGTGCTCCCTGTGGGTGGCCCAGCTGGACGTGGAGGATGAGAGACAGGGCCCCTGTGTACCGGGAGCTCACAGGTTGGTCTCCCCAGGGTACAGCCATAAGGACCTGTCCCTGAGGGGGAGTGTGGGCTCATGACCGGGGCAGACTCTTTAGAAAGTGGGCACGTTGGACGTGACATGGCTGGGCCCATCACTTCAGGCACATCCAGGGGGTGAGGGGAGGGGACAGGACAGGGCAGGGGAGGGGAGTGAGGGGCTGATCCTTGCTGAGCCTGGCAGGGACTGGGCGAGACTGAGAAGTCTCCTCCAGGGTGTGTGGGGTAGGTGCCTGTGACATTGTCCTCCAGGCCAAGGTGCCAGCCTCGGTGGAGCCGGAGAAGCTGGGAATGAGCAGCTCGGTGACACAGAAACCCACGCTCCTGTGGGTATTTGCCCCTGGGGGAAGAAATGATCCCCCCCACAAGGGCTGTGAAGCCTCAAACCCCAGCTGCCACCTCAGGCTGGGTTTCAGGACCTCAGGACTGAGTCACGGAATTTCAGCCCGGCCCCCGCTGAGACCAGCTCTCTCGGGACAGAGCCCTGGAGGTCTGCAGAGACCGGGGAGGCGTCCCCGAAGTCTGTTCCCGGGCTGCAGATGGCAGTGCGACTCCTGCCTTTGCCAAAGGGGAAGATGGGCACCTGTTTTGAGCTCCAGGACTGTGCCTCTTGGTTTTGGGGATTGTCTTCCCAGAGCTTCCCCAGGAGGCCCCTGCATGCTGGAGTTCCCTTGGACGTCCAGGAGAGGGCGCTGGCCCGACACACAAGGCCCTGGCTGTGGCCATCTCCATGGAGGGAGCCCTGAGTCCTTGGCTACCCATCAGCCTTTTCAACTGCACTTTTCCCAGCCTCAGATTTTGGGGGGGCAAATCCTGGAGAGTTTGCACAGTTAGGTTGTAGTGCTCAGTTCAGAGTTTTATTGCCTGTGCACAATGATGATAAATTATCACACAAAAAATCCTCTCCTCCAAAGAAAAGTCAAACAAGGAAACTCACACAGAGGGTTTGTAGGGTAGGTGCTGAACACCTGAGCTGTTAGTGAGGCCCCGGTTTTCCTGGAGCCTGAGGAGGGGGGAACTGGAGGCCCTGGCCTGGCACTGGAGGTCACAGCCTCTACCATGTGTGGAGGCCCTGGTGGGGAGACCAGGGAAGCAGTGCACTGGGTCTTTAAATAGTCCGTGCAGTGTGTGGGGTGGCTTGGGTGGGGGTGAGTGGGGCCTGATGAATGTGCCCTTAATGAGCCAAGTTCCATTTGGAATAATTCTTCCATTGTGTCCCCAGCACCTCCCCAGCTGCTGCCCATGCGGGTCTTGCTTCCTCGGCCTCAGACCACGCAGTTTTGCCTTCTGCCTCAGCTGGCCATGGAGTAGAAGCTTCCTCCTGCCAGGACCTGGCCAAGGACGCAAGCAGGTACCGTGCAAAACCCCTTCGCAGCAGCCATCCTGGAGGCCAGGGTCCCGGAGCTCAGCCTGGCCATAGGTCAGGCCATATGGGCAAGAGCGGTGGTTGGGCCCTGTGAGCCTGTGTCTTTGGTCTTGTGGGCCGCAGCTGATCTCAGGCCAGCTCTTTATGTGACCGTGGGAGGCACCGTGTGAGTCAGGGGACTGCAGAGGCAGGACCAGTGGTGTGTGCGCGACGTTCCTTCTGTAGAATTCCAGTTACACCGCGTTCTGGAAAGGGCCAAGCTCTGAGGAATGGAAACCCTATCAGGATGGCCAGGGTGGGGCTGGGAAGAGGGATCTCAGGGTGATGGAAAGATCCTCTCTTGGTTGTGGGGGTGGATACATCACTGTCAAAATTTTGGCAACTATGACTAAAAGAGTGACTTTTACTATTTTACTATGAGTTATACCTCAATTAAAAGAAAAAAGGAAAAACTTATCCATGGGCTAGCATAGGTTTGGGGTGAAATCTAAAGGAATTCAGCCCTCCAGAACTTTCCCTGATGCAGATAGTCAGTCGGGCAGAGCGCGTCCCTGGAGCCAGTGGATGGGAGTGGTTCCTGCTTGCTCCAGGTCCTCGTTTGCTGAGGTCATCTGCTGAGGCTCCCTGCCTCTCACACAGGGTGACACCCTGGGTGTTGGTTTGCCAAGTCTGCTCTGCTCAGGCCACCTCTGCGTCCTGTTCCTTTACACACATGAGTGCGTAGCCGCAGGAGCTCGGCCTACTCTGGGCCAGACACTGCTTGGGACAGGACACAGAGATCAGAAGGCACACGCCACCCTGCCCTTGTGGGGCACCCGACCCACTGGAGAGGACAGGAATGGCGTGAGCAGCCAGAGTGGGACGCACAGTGTGTCTCGCTGGAGGACGGACCTGGCTCTGCACTTACTCCAGGTGCTGGGGAGGGCTTCAGGGGACACATTGGCCAAGCGGGCTTAACTACACCTGGGCTAAGGACGCTGGGGAGAGCACGGATACTGCCAGCGTGAGTGAGGACACAGAAGACGGGCCAGGGGACCCTCACTAAGGATGCTGGGTGGGGCTGGAGCCTAGAGTGTGTGTGTGGGGGGAAGCGGAGGGTGGTCTGGAAGCCAGGCCCCGAGGGCCAGCGCAGAGGGTCCGGTGGGGATTGGGATTTATCTTTTGTTCTCTTTGGTAGAATTTTTTGTTAATAAAATTTTTTTGAAAGTACGATTTAAATTTATGGAAGAGTCGAGAAGATAGTATGGAAAGCTCCCATTTATCCATGTCTACAGCTTCCCCTGATAACACTGTAATAATAGGATGGTAATTTGATATGATTTATGAACCAATATTGAGACATTATTTTCAACTAAATTGCTTAGTTTATTAAGTTTTTATTTTAGTCTCCCCGCCTCCCCCTCCCGCCACGTCCTTTTTCTGTTTCGAGGATGGCACACCCCCCTCTCAGACTCCCCTTGGTTCTGGTGACCTTGGTAGTTTTGGGGTGTTCTGGTCAGGCATTTGGTAGGATGCCCCTTGATTGGAACTTGATGTTTTTCTCATGATCAGACTGGGGATATGGATTTTGGGAGAGAAAGACTACAGAGATAAAATGCCATTTCCCTCGGTCCCATCGAGGGACCCTGCCATCACGGGACTGTGTCCTTGGCTGTGCCGTGGTGTTGCAGGGTCTCCACGGGCTTCTCTTCCATCTGCAGTCTTTGGAGGGAGTCACCGTGCAGCCCCTGCTTTGGCCTGGGGCTTCAGCTACCCTCCGCCTCTGTTACATTTACATGAATTATTTAGAATTCTTCTGCCCAGATTTGTCTCTTCTCTCCCATTTATTAATTTATTCAATGATTTATTTATCAGTGCGGACTCCGGGGTATTTACTTAATACTTTGGGCTGTAATCCAATACTGTCATCTTTTATTGTGCAGATTGCTGAGCTTTGGCTCCGTTGGCTTTCTTTTCAGTGTCTAGAAGCCCCGGGCAGGACAGTGATGTGATCAGATTTGCATTTTTAAAACCTTCACAAGCTGCCTGCCAAGGCAGAGAGGTTGCAGCACTGAGAGGCCCCCAAGCCTTGAGGCTCCGTGCCCTGGCCTGGCTGGGCAGGACGCGGGACAGCTGTGTTTCCGTCACCTCTAGTAAAGCATACCTTCCAAGTCCACTTGGCGCTGTTTTTAGGTCATGGCGACTGTGGCCTGGATCCAGGAGTCCAAGTAAATCATGACCCTTCCTCTCTTCCATCCCTGGAGGCTTTCAGGGCCGTTTTCAACAGTGAGCACATGAGTATTTCCTTGCACGGAGACCGAAGTTGTTCTTCGCCCACCTGGCCCAGCGTCAGAGGTCCTCCATTGCGTGATGTGGAGATCCGACCCTGGGTTCCCATTTCCCTGCGGCTTCTCTTGCTGGACAGGCTGCCTCCTGTTTTCACCACGTGCAGGCAGCTGCAGCGCCCCCACATCTGTGGCTTTGTCTTCCCTCTTTGGCTTGGAGGGGAGCAGCATGGCAGTGAGAACGCCCAGGGCGTTGGACAGATGGACACTGATGGACAGATGCTCTGTTCTTGCTGGGCCACTTCCTGCCGCCTGCTGCTTCTCGTGGCTGCCTTGGAAATACTGACGCAATCCCAGGGCAAAGAGCTTTTCTCCAGGAGCTGCCCCTTCCTCACACACCCACCAGTGTCATTAGGCCCTGTGCCTTGGGGAGAACAGATGTGACTTGGGGAGAGAGAAAGGGAAGAGTAGGAGAGGGCTTTGCTTTCTGCAGCCAAACCTGCCTGAAGCAACGAGCCTGTCCTGGGAGGAGAGCATCGATTGCTGAGACTGAGCTTCCAACAGGCCTTCTGTCCCCTCTAGTGCCGACCCAGTGCTGTTTGGCGGGTGTGAGAGGCTGAGGCCAGAGAGTCTGATGATCTTAAGAACTTCCAGGAACACAAATCAGAAGGTTTTGCTCACACCAAGAAACCCACAGCTCACCTCAGGGGCTGGTGGCAAAGAGCCTTTTGTGCTGGCACGTGATCCAAGAAAACACCACCCTAGTTCAGAGCTGACCTCCCACTCTCCCTGCTGGGGGACAGGGAGGGTCCCTTAGGAATTGGGAACCTGGTCCGAGGCAGCCGAGCTCCCTGCAGGGGGAGGCCAGCTCCCTGTTACAGATGCAGGAGGCCCAGGGGATGGACCCCTTGAGAAATGCTGCCCTGAGCTGCAGCCTGTGGGGGCAGGTGGGGTTGTGGCCTGGCTGGCCAGCCTTCCTGTGAGTGTCCCTGCCTGCCTTGAGCAGCCTGCCCCAAATTGCTCCCATCTCTCCGTCAGTACTCCTCCAAGATTTGAGAGCTTTTCCCAGGTGGGAGGGGGAGAACCGACAGGAACCTCTTGAAAAACAACGCACACCTTCACGTTCAGCAGTTCCTCAGCTGGCTCCCCGCTTGGCAGTTCACTTTATAGGTGGAATCTTCTATTAGTTTGCTTTTCATTACTGTAACGAAATACCAGAGGCAGACCAGCTTTCTAAAGAGGCTTGTTTAGCTTACAGTTTGGAGGCTGAAAGTCCGAACAGCATGGTACAGGTTCTGGCAAGGTCCCCCTGACTGCATCACTTCATGGCAGCAAGCCACAGTGCATTATCTGGCAAGAGTCAGGGAGGTGCATGTCCAAGTCTGTTTGTTCTCTGTCCCTGTTCTTGTAAAGCCACCAGGATTTAATCATGGGGCTCTGCTCTAGAGATGTTATCTAAATCTAATCACTGGCTAAAGACCCCAAAGACCCCACTTCTAAATATCATAGTGGTATTAAGTTTCCACTGTCTTCATTCATTGATGTATGGCTTTGGGAATTAAACTCCTGATGAGTTTGGGAGGGGGACAAACCCTAGTCAAATCATCGTGGGTCTGGGTGATTCTCCCTGTCTTGCCAGGGAAAAGGGGTTGGGTTGCTGGAGCTGAAGGTCACTGTGGATTAAATCCTGTACCTGCCTCACTCTCTAGGAGTCAAATAGAAGGTGCTTCCTTCATCTGGATGGGAACAGGCATGGGAGAGAGCAGGGCTCAGGATCCCAGGCCTGCAACTCTTCCACCTCCCAGGAGGAGACTAAAATTGGGGCCGGCAGCACTTCTTGGAGTCCGAGGCCCTGCAACAGCCTGGAAGGGAAGCTGACTCTGAGTGGCTGAGTGAGAAGCAGATGACGCGCTGGGGTTGGAGCAGTCAGGGAGGGTAGGGCCCCTTTGCACCCTGAAGGGAGGAGCTGAGGCCAAAAGCCCACTCTGTGTCCAGCACAGCTGCCCAGTGTTAGCCCTGGCCCCATGTTATGTATGCACCTTGGGGGATGCTTTTCTTCCAAGTACATGCTGGCTGCCAGGGGCAGGCCCTGTCCTAGATGGCCCAACGGGAATGGAGAAATGGGCCCTCACCTCAGAGGAGGAGTGGAATAGAGGCAGCCCTGGGAGGTGGGAGGGTGGGCCTTCAGGCCAGAGCTTGCTTGGCCCAGGCCCCTCCTGCCTAAGTGCTGCTGCCTTTTGCCACTACAGGAGGGGAAGCCCCCGGGTGCAGGAAGGGTGAGGGGCGACCTGCAGTGCTCCCTGGTGCTCTCTCATGCTTTGTTTGCGTTTTTGGTTCATCTGTCCACCCACTTGGTAGATTCATCCTGGTTGATCCTGTGCCACACCCTGTGTGTCGTGGTGCAGGGGAAGGAGCATAGAGATGGAGAAACAGGCTGCTGGACCCATTTTGGCGTATTTATTTATTTACCCCAGGGGTTGAACCCAGGGGCGCCTAACCACTGAGCCACATCCCCCCAGCCCCTTTTCTGTATGTTTTACTTTGAGACAGGATGTTGCTAAATTGCCGAGGCCTCAATACATTGCTGAAGCTGGTCTTGATCTTTTGATCTCCTGCCTGGGCCTTCGAAGCTTACTGGATCACTCTGAGCCGTAGTATACCCATCTTTAAAGCGAGGCTAGTAGTAGCCATTTCCTAGGGGTCATTGTGAAGAGTAAAGTC